GCATGGAGTTATTTAAAAAAATTAACCAAACACAAATGCCGCAGATAGAGAGGGGAGGCGTCCAGTCAGTTTGCAAGATCACCTGCTCAGCTAAAACTCCATTTGTTTGACGTATTTTGAGTGCAGTTAATTAGAGTTTGGTTAGATTGGGGCTATTTAAAAATTTGACCAAACACAAATGCCGCAGACAGAGAGGAGAGGCGTCCAGTCAGTTTGCAAGATCACCTGCTCAGCTAAAACTCCATTTGTTTGACGTATTTTGAGTGCAGTTAATTAGAGTTTGGTTAGATTGGGGCTATTTAAAAATTTGACCAAACACAAATGCCGCAGACAGAGAGGAGAGGCGTCCAGTCAGTTTGCAAGATCACCTGCTCAGCCAATACTCCATTTTTTTGACGTATTTTGAGTGCAGTTAGTCAGTGTTTGGTTAGCGTGGGGTTATTTAAAAATCTGACAAAACACAAATGCTGCAGACGGAGAAGAGAGGCGTGCAATTAGTTTTCAAGATCACCTGCTTAGCCAATACTCCATTTGTTTGACTATTTTGAATGCAGTTGATTTGAGTTTGGTTAGCGTGGGGTTATTTGAAAATTTGACCAAACAAAAATGCTGCAAATAGAGAGGAGAGGCGTCTAGTCAGTTTAAAAGATCACCTGGTAGGCCAATGCTCCATTTCTTTGACGTATTTTGAGCACAGTTGATTAGAGTTTGGTTAGCGTGAGGTTATTTTAAAATTTGACCAAACACAAATGCTGCAGATGAAGAGGAGAGGCGTCCAGTCAGTTTGCTTGTTTATGCTCTATAAACTGTTCTTATGGTGGTCTGGAGTTTTTCAAATCAAAAACTTAAATCATAGGAAATTAATTCTTTCCACCCTTTATGTCTATTAGCGAAAGCTTTGGCAAGAAAATGTCTAAATATTCTTTAGAAAATTTTCTTCCCAAACTCCCACCCGATGCATTTTCGGAAATACACCTTTTATTAAACAAAGTTTGTAGAAAAAGCTGTTCAGTTGGGTATTTTTGATTTTTTAATGTTTATCAATCTTGACTTGAGCAGGGACGTGTAACTAATAACAAGCAAAAAGTGGGCGTGCATCGCCAGCCTAGAAAGAGATTGGCGTCTGTGAAACGGGCTTTCTTCTTGCCATAATTGTTCATTGAAGTCAAGGTAGTCAAAGCAAGGGCTTATCTTATCGAATGCGTTACCACGGGAATAAAGAGAAAAAAAAAGGAAAAAGAAGTTCTACTTTTATTGAAGAGAGAGTGCTCCCAACAGATAAAATGACACAAATTTCAATAAATGTTAGCTGCTTTGGCTGTACTTCGTCGACTCGCCTGATGCACCAAAGCTAAGAATTATGAAGTTATTATACGTTCTTGCTTTTTTTCGGAATCGTGCTTGGCAAGAGTCCAAAGCCGGGTAGTGTGAAAGTTACTGGTGAGATATTCGTAGAGTTCTCCGATTTCTCTCAAATTATGAAATTACAGGTCAAGGTAATTTGCGTTCCCGAATTGTTCACTTTGATGCAAAATTGCATTGGCATCGATTGATAGAGTTACCACTGCCTTCGAAGAAAAGATAATCGGAACTTATTCGTCATATTCCAGAAAGGTTTTTCCAGTTAAAGAAGATGTGGAAATTTAAAGAGTAAGGGCTATGCTTAAATGTACTCATAAAAAGAGACTCGAGAACTTCAATTTGAAAAAGGTGATTTACTCGATTCTTTTCACCTCAAATAAGCCTAAGAAACTCAAAGTTTGAGTCATGATTGAGAAGCGATACTACTTTCCAGGTAAAAAATTGTCATTGAAACAACTCACGTACACCAGGAAGACTTGCAATTGAGATATGGGAATACAATTTTATCATAATTCATGCTCAGTTAGGATATCAAGAAATTGTCGATTATAATAAAGTTGGAAAAAAATTCAAATGTCGTTTTCAATTAGGGAAAGCTCGGATTCTTGACGACCTGAAAATTTTCGGAGACATTCTTTTTACAAAATCAGCTGAAAGTAGTCAAGATGGGTCGTGATCTAAACAATCCTTCTGAGAAGAGCTGCGAGTGTATTCGGAAGATGGATGGGAGTTACTGTGGTATATGCCCCATTGATCGTTCTGGTTCTCTGTAAGTGCACATATGTAACATATCGAGTACATGATAGCAATAAGCAATATCTGTAGTTGAGTTACAGGAATTTGTGAGAAAATAATTATACTTATATTAGCTTGAAGCTGTGCGCGTGGGGTAAATCGTTAAACATCCGATCAAAAGTGATGTTTTTTTCTCCAACTGGACTTTTTCGGATTCTTAGCTATCAATAAAAAATAATCTTTTTATCTTTGTTGGGGTTAACGATTATAATTCTCGTGCAAGAAATGTCACATATGATGGAATGCATCAGTAGAATAGCAGAACTTCCGTCCGTTTCAGCCTCGAAGGTGGAATGAAAGGGCTTACGTATACTTTCGACATGGTGGAGAGTAAGAACAGTTATCTTAGTCTTTACCAGGTGCAAACGTTCTGAAATGCTTCATTTGCGAATTCAATACCGTAATCTCTCCTATATAGCTACAGTGGGTCACTGGTTTCCCTAGCATTTGTTATGGAGATAGGTGGTATGTACATTAAACGAAGTCACAGCAGGATCCCAAACGCTTTTTGAGCCGGTGGGAGGAGGTAGACCAATGGGAACTTGAATTTCTAAACGGGTGAAGCTTTGGAGTGTTTTCTATCTCTATATTATTCGGCTAAGCTTTGCTGTTCTAAGAAAACAAATTGATCATTGCCAACGTCTTGTGATGTGACTTAATACACCAGAACTAAATTTCAAGTAGCTACACATAACATGAGCCTTGTTTCTGTTAATGCTGTTGTTGTTATTTTTTTTTTCTGATGTTTATCTAATTTTAGAAGGACCGGCCGACGTCAAGACATCATCCTTCATCATGGCTGCTGGAGCAGGGGAACTTGACTCATGAAATTGTTCGGTATTTTGTGGCTCTAGAAGAAAATTTCAGTTACAAACTATATTCAGTCAGTTCACAGACAAAATATGGAAACTTCACTTGAAATCCTATTCATATCAGCGTGATCAGACATCCTTCCCTTCGACCATAGTTTGCAAATCAAAAATTAACCAATTTAAAAGAAATAATTCTTAAAATGCAGGCGTAAATCAGGCTAAAAAACGACATATCGGAGGATAGTTTATACACCAGTGAGGTCACCGATTGCCTCAAAAGTGCGGGTATCTCTCTAGCTTTCATCCACCATCATCTCTTAATCATGCATGTGTCAAAGCTCATTTGCATAATTCTAAAAAATGACTAAGATATGTCTTTAACCGTTCAAACTTCGTTTGTTTATATTCTTCGTAAAGTATTTTAGATTTTCATGACAATTGGATAGAAAATAAATTGTTAGTTGTCCTAAAACGTTGCATGAACATGATCAGTCGTAACGCTTGCATGACTTACAAAGTAAACAAAGGCGATCGAAGGCGCTTCCTCGATAATTTTCCTTAAATCAGATCAAGAGCCATGTACAGAGTGGAGAATATCAAAATTAAAGAAACCAATTTAGCATTATGGTCATTGCAGACATACTGTGTGGCTTTAAAGGACACACAAACAAGTTAAAATACATGTACGTTACGGTTTTATTTACAAGACAAGTTATGCAAGAATTTACACTTTCGATCGTTGTCCTAACGGTTGGTCTAGCCAAAAGTCAATTTTCGCTTGTGGCGAGGCAAAAATAGAACTGGAAAACAACCAAACTATTTTTTAAATATGTGTCCTAAACCCTTTTCATAGCAAAAAAATTAAGGAAAATTCTTTTTGGACGGGAAGTCGAGAGGACCGCTCTTAGCGATGGTGGTTCTTAAAGAGCAGTGAATATCGTTGTGTTTTGAAGGAGTCCATAGCTTGATTCATTTAAACTGCGATTGAGCTCAGATTGTCTG